TAAACAATATTACTTAAATTTATCAAATTTACAAAAATTACTTTAAAAAAATAAAACTTATTACTGTTAAAATAACCAAAATAATAATTATTATAACATAAAAAATAGTATTATACTAATAGTTTAGTGCCTTGTATTCACATAAATTTTTTTACTCAAATAGATTTAAGAAGAAGAAGTTACAACATACTCATAAGAAATTAATGTAAATTTATAATCACTATCTACTTTAATTATTTATTTCTTTTGTTTAATTTTAGTAGATCTAATTTTTTTAACTAATAAAATAAAAATGTAATCATGAATTGATAAGATTTGATATTTATTTTTATTAATAATTATTTTAATAAATCTTCTTATTTAATATATGTCATAATTATTTTTTTTTAAATGTAAAATACAAAAAAAATGTATTATATAACATCTTAAAATAAACAAGTAAATTTAAATAGTTTAAATTAAAAATTAAATATATTAAAATTTAATTAATATTTCATTTGTTACAAAATATCTATTTTTTATAAAAATATATATTTATAGTGATAAATCTGAAACGATACGTGAAAAATTTCAGTATCTGATATATATTATTTCAGTATCTGATATATACTATTTCAATAATAAAATTGGTACATATATTGGTATAGTATTAATTACTTTGATTTAAAGTCTTGTAAATAAATATATAGAAGCTGAAAGAGTTATTCTCTTATAAAGTCTAATACAATTCGATTATAAATTACTCAATAATTAATGTAATTTATAGATAACAAAAATTTGGTAAAAAAATTAACGTTTTCTTTTTTCAGAAGAGTAATTATGAAATTTAAAGAAGAGCACAATTTTAAAAATATATTTTAATAAGTTATTTAAAATAAAAATGGATAAATAAATTTCAGCTATTTCATTTTAGAAAGTCTAAAATAAATTATACTTAATATAGAGTATTAGGATAGGCTGGTTTCCAAATTCAAACTTCAATAGCAGCTGAACCAATCACCGAGGAGCTACTGCTCACTGCTCTGTAACATGGTTTGTAAGGAGAACAAAAAGTAGGCATCAAGTTTTACAGAAGAGTAGTAACTATTAAAACTAAATTTTAAGACAAAATTTTGAGGTAAAATTATTTTTATCATTGATCAAAATGGCCTCACATGAGACTCATGCCAAAATTGATGAGCACCATAATTTTGTTTTAAAAATTTGTCCTAACAATCATTTTTCCTTATAGAAATGGCGAGAAGAGAATTTGAGCCAATAATGTAAAATAACAAGTCCACGCAAATTCTATCTAAATAGACTTATAATTACAAAATTTACCTCAAGTAATATAAGATTTTGAAAGTTGAAGCCCTCGTTGGGTCAAGTAGAACTCCTTTGATGCCCGTAGAGAATCATTCTAGTACCAATTAAAATAACTCAAGTCAAAATTTATTATTGATTTAATAACTCTCTAAACCAAAATTCATAAAATTTAAACTCAAATTATTAATAATAATTGATTTTTACACTTATATATCAATTATAATCATATCATTCTTTTGATTTGGTTCAACTTGGAATTGAAGCATTATACCCATGTGAGTAATTGAAAAAAAAAAAAACAGTCTGTGTGAATAGATACAATTTAGGTGTATGTATGCATTTCCAATCCCACCAATATCTTAGGCTTGAATTTGGTAATTCACTCAGCATTTAGTTTGTTTTTGGCATTCAACTTTGGCATCTCACATCTAACCTCACAGGTGTGCTGCACACTTGGACTGCAGTTCTTATTTCTTAACTCGCTGCTTAATTACATAACATTATCAAGGATTTTTTTAATATGTGTTTTTAAGAATATAATAATTGTATATTTTTTATATTTGTTAGTATTGAAAAATAAAAATTAACTTTTATTTAAGTAATTGTTTAATTGCAATAATTTATATGACATTAGTGATTAAATTATGATAATTTTCATATTTTTTAATATTAATTAATATAATAATTATATAATAATTATACACTAAACCTTAGCAAAACCCTTTTATCAATAACTTACTTAAACAATTTGAAATCAAATAATTAATTGCTTGAAGCAATTAGCCACAATACCAAGATATGAGTGGACGACGAGGCAATAAACAAATGCAATTACGCCAACCACTTTCCTACCATGACATGACTGGCTAAGATTTAATGGTGTCGTATCAGTTCATGAGTTCAAATCCATGTATAATTTTTTGTAATTTGTAGTGGAGGAGCATTAGGAACACTTTTATAACTCTCTTTTGGACATTTTAATATAATTATTGATTAGTGTTTTATATTAAAATTTAAAATTTTAATCAATTACATTAAATATATGTCACATGACCTAATTACATAAAAAGTACTTATAAGAAAAGTGCTAGAAAAAACGTTCTTAACATTTCCCTTGGTAGTTTTGTACTAATTGTACTCTTTTACAAAAGAAAACAAAAGATTATTTGATATAGTAGTTTAAAACTTACTATTAGTTGTTTTTGTTAGATGTACAAAAAATTTTAAATTATTAATAATAATAATTACCAATCATTAAATTAGATAAAATTACTAGTAGTTGATTCTAAACTCCTTATACAAATTGGCTTAAAGATGCCAAATTTAACTTCTTCTTTTTTTTTGGTTTCTCCCCTAGTATTCGGGACTTCGCCCTGATTAATTCGGATTGACTTGCGTCGCGCACTTGAAAATGGTAAGTGAATCTCCCAACGGAGACTGCTGCGTACACAAGATCTCAAACTCGAAATCTTATTTAAATTGAAATAAGTCGCTTGTCACTTGATTCAACCCTCATTGATCCAGATTTAACTTTTTTAAATGCACAAAAGGATGCGTTTGCAGATAAGAGAGGGTAGGTAAGGGCTATCACCACCTTAAAGATTTTCAAAACTCTTATATATATATATATATATATATACACCCCTTAATTATAAAAATAACTTTGATTTTTTATTTTTTTTACATATTAAGAATTTATAGATAATATATGAATTTATTTTTATTACTTTTAATAGGAAAATAAAAAGAGAAATTTTGATTAGAAGGTGGACAATTAAAGTTAAGTATAATAAGAAGGTTAAATTAAGAAAAAATATTTTTTTAACTTAAAAAAATAATTTATGATAAATTTTGAATAAAAAAAAAATCAATACCATATTACCGCATAGGGAGTATATTTTAAATGGGCCAAAATTTCTTTTCTTATTTGCAATTTCTTGTTTAGTACAGTATTTTTATTTGATAAAAAAATTTCAATTGTTATTTATAATTTTTACCTAAAATATTTATTTTAAAAATTAAAAAGTCAGAGTAGAACTACAATTATTAATGAGAGAGAAGATTTTTTACTAATCAGAAACCACCCTCCCCAATTGTTTTTCAAAGTCATACCCTCGAATTTTTTTTTTCCCCTAAGTGGCTTAGTTCTGTATTTGAGCTATTAAAATCATTTGCAAATAGATTGTGCTTTAAGTGCATGCAAACTAAACTAACTCGTGAATATTTTTATTGTTTAAAAAAGGACTTGTAATCCCAATGTATAGCTAATAAACATAAAATGCTAACTAATTAATTGGAATCGAAAGCTTCGATTGTATATTCTCAGCTTGTCAAGTTCTATTTTGTCATTGCGCCACTAAGAATTTTATATGCAATCAAAATGTTTCCCAAGCCTTTGGTCAACCAAGGATGGCTGTTTGTTTATTACCATAAGGAAAATGGGGCCGTTGAAATTACCCAACCTCATTGAATTAAAGTAATAAACTACCTGAAAGTCAAGTTTTGTAAGTTACTAAAACAAAGTTGAAGATTGAAGTCAAAATGGGTAGTAGTTTAAAGTTTTCTAAATGAAATTATATATATATTACCAAAAAAATATTATATATTTTAGGTTATATACATAATTGTACAATTTAAATTATAGGATAAGAGTGATACTTTGATATTGAAAGGCCGTTTTGTATTTATAATTTATATTTTATAGTTTAAAATAGTTCAGACTACGAAATAAAATCTCATAATTTAATATAAATAGAAGAAATTAGTGTTTGTCGATCAAAATTAAAAAAATTAAGAGAAACAATGCTAAAAAATTATATTGGTTAATTAAAACACTATAAGGAAAGATCAAAAACAAACTCATTTATAGTTTAAAAATAAGTTATTTTAAGTCTTTTTTAATGAAATTTACTAAAATAAATTTAAGACATTTTCTCCTATTCCAACTTACAAATACTTTTCTCAAAAGAGAATACATTTTTTTTTCTTTTCAATGCAACCACATTTGAAAAAGAAAGAAGAAATTGACAGAATGGGTGAAAACGTGCAAAACAGGCAAATGATAAGTCTTATGAGCAGTGATTTTTTTAAACCCTTTTTTTCAATTTGGATTAGTAGAAAACGGTAAATTACTAAAATGTTATTTAATTTTTATTTCAAGATGTTATGAATATATCTTATAGTTAGTCACTTTTAGTTTAAAATGGTTTTTACTATTTTGTTAAACCGCAAAAATCTCAAATTTAAGGTATCTATATGATTTAAATTTTAAATGTAAGGTGAGTTATTCCACTTATTTTTATTTAATTTTAGATTAATTATAAGTTTTGTATTTTAACCTAAATATTAAATTTTAACATACTACCAATCCAATTGACAAGAATATTTATGCCTTTTGGATTTGCTTTCTCTTTTATTATTTTTTAGGAAAATGATTTGTACAATGATTTTTTACCTACCAACTAGGCTAGTCCCCAAACCTGTATTTTTATAATA